GTTTAAAGTACTCTGTTAACAATTGAAAAAGAGTATTCTTTGGAGGAGGGGATGTACAAGGGTCTAGGAACCTGGAGACACATATAATAGAGTCCCAACGCCTTTACCTTTGCTCAGGAGAGAATTTTTAAAAAATTTTAGATTATTTGATTTCTTTAAGAATATTACAAATTTAATTTCATTTAATATCTATTTATGCATGAGTGATTTCCTTACATTAATGCATGTGTACAATGTGTGAGCCTGGTGCCTGGAAACTCAGAAGGGGACATTGGATTACTTGGGACTGCATGTATAATGGTTGTGAACTTGCCTGTTGATGTTGGGAATTAAACTTGAGTTCCCTGAAAGAACAAAAATACTCTTACCTGCTGAGCTAACTTTTTAGCCCCCTGACCATTTTTGTTTTGTTGTTTGACTTCTTTTGAGACAGAGTTTCATGTAGCCTGGGATATCCTCAAATTGGCCTTGAATGCTTGTTTTTAAAATAGAAAAAATTACTATATGTGCACACGGTATGTGTGTACATGACAACAGTGTTGTGTGGCAGTAAAAGACAACTTTGTGGCGTCCTTTCTCTCCTTACACCTTTATGTAGGATCTAAAGCTAGATAGGGATTCTCTGTAGCTTTTTAGGTTGTCTTGGAACTCCCTCAGCAGACCAGACTGACCTCAAACTCACAGAGATCTTCCTGTCTCTGCTTCTTCAGTATTGTGATTAAAGGGGTGCACCAAGACCGCCCAACTAGGTTTATATTTTTTAAGTTAAAGATTCCCTCTCTAGCCCAGGCTTACTTTGAACTCATGACAATTCTACCCCAGTCTCCCAAGTGCTGGAAAAAAGTGCCTTGAGCCACCATTCCTGGCTGCTTTGTTTCTAGAGACCAGTCTCATTCATTATGTTGCCCTGTTATGCTTGGAACTGAGGAAGTGGTACTAAGTTGGCTTTGAACTGGGGCTCCTAGGGTGGGCATGCATGCACCACCAAGCCAGTGTTGCATTTGATTTTACTTTTCAGGGCTGGTGGTGGACCTTTGCACCATGTAAGGTGTGCATTCTTCCTCTGGGATACTCCTTCAGTCTCAAACCTCATTACTGTCTCTTTGCTAAAACACAGCCTTTCACTGTAACTAAGGCCAATGTCCCACAGCAGAATCAGAATGAAATATGTTTAAACCCTAGTGCTACCATGACTAGTTCATCTGGACTTCATTGTATTCCAAGGTTCATTCTTCTGGTGTAATACCTACAGTGGAAGTTATGCTAAGACTAAAGGTAATCAGTATATCAAAGTTGGAATACACTCCCAGCCCCCAATTTCCAATAGTGTGTCCTCTAAAGGGAAGCACAAGGCTGGGCTAGGTTTCATTTACTTGCAAGGGGCTCTGGAATTGCACTTAGAGAAAGGACTCTGCTGGAAAGAGGGTGTGAGAAGAAAAAGAGTGTGAAGAAAATCTTGGGTTTCTCCCGTGATCACAAAGCACATTTCAGTTTGGGGAACTCAAGACTCAAAGGATAGAGACAGAGGGCAAAGCAGAAGAAAAACAATGAGATTCAGCCTTGGGGTCAAATGGGAACATGCACTGAGGGGTGTGAGGAGCCATTGTCTGCATGCTTTCTCTGATCTGATGACTTACTATGTTGAGAGAATACAGAACATTGGGTTCTGTTCTATTCTTTATACGTCTTCCATTGGAGTGAGAAAAGACATTTCTTATTGGTGGCTGTGTCTCTACCCTAAATTCTGGAACCTAGTGCTCACAACCTGACTGTCTAAGGGAAACACTCTCAGAAGGATTAGCAAGGTTCTAGGCTTGCAGCAACTCTCACTTGATTACCCAATCACAGGGCAATTTTATTTTACTTATTTATGTGGTCAGGAAGCCCTGCATGAGAAGTTCACTATGGAGGAGTTCCCCAAGAGGAAACGACATGGCCAAGGCTCTCTTGCCTTTTTTCCACTGCACTTTCTGCCCTAGGGAGTGTAAAATTGCTGTTGGAGCCCAGAGGGTTAGGTCTTGGACCAGCCGCTCCGAGATGACGTAATGCTTTCTGTGGTACACAAAGCGGCCTAGCGGCCTCCCCCAAGCTGGGCCTCTCTCGCCCCTCCCCCAAGCCAGGAATGCCGCCCCCGCCGGCAGCAGCACGGGTGAGTCCCCCCTTTAGAATAGCCGGACCAGAGAAACAGGGAACAAAGGCCTCGGAAGGAGCGCCTAGGCACTGCCAGGAGTCTCAGAAATAGACATCACGTCATCTCTCCGCCCGGCAGCGCCAAGCGCCATTTGGTAACACAGGCAAGGACCTAACCATTACGGTGCAGAACGAAGCTTGCAGGGCCAACATTTTATCCCAGCCCTAGCAACCCTCTGACCGGCATAAGGAGTGGCTTCCCTTTTGCTCCCCACCCCCGCACCCTTCTTTCCCTGGAGGCCTCCGCCTCCCTTGGCTGCCAGCCACACAGCCCATAGTCTCCTCGCTGCCATCTTGTGGCCCCATCCCCCTTGCTGCTTCCCTCTCCTGCAGCCCTCAGAAGTAGGAGGGGGAGGAAGGGGCACCGCCCTGCGTGCCCCAAGGGGGAGGGCTCGGCCTACCCCACCTCTGTTCCTCCAGAAGGAGGGGTTCACATCCTCTGCATGCTTGCCATTTCTCACCTCCAGCCCTGCTGACAGTGCACCATGAAGGGTTTACGGTCAAGGATTTAGCATCCCGGGCCAGTCTACCCTCGGTGACAGGCTGGCCTTGCCACCCCTGCAGCCCAAAGCTGAGACCCAGGCGCTATCCACTGTCTGCCTTCTAGTCACTCACCACCTCAGGCTCTATTCTAGCAGAGCTGGCATTTAGAGGCTCCCATCTGGACTTCACTCTCCGCCCATTCCTCAGCTACCTGGCTTTGCGCCGCACTGATGGCCTGGAAATGAGTTTGTCAGACTCTACTTACCAAAGCTGGGGCGTATATTTGTGATCTCGGCCATGTTGTAATCAGAAGCTGTTGATAGCAACACTCTAGCAGAGGTCAGACAACTTTGGGAATCTCGGTCGGTACCGAGGCCGCGGCTGTAGACCTCCAGATCAGGGGAGGGGAAGGTGCCTGGCAGACTGCCCCTGCGACAGTCGGCCCCTGGTTGCTAGCTGCGCTTTCCTCTTAGATGCTCCTGAGATGCTGTGAGCTAAGGATGCAGGTGCAGTCAGACTGGTCCTGATGCGAGATAGGCTCCGCCTCTTTCCGAAGGGCCCTCGGCAGAAGACTCCGCCTCTGCCCGAAACGAAATGTTCCGGAAGCTGTTCGAGAGGAGATTCCTCCCACCGCCGAGTTTTCCCGAGGATGAGGCTCCGCCCACTCACAGGCTGTGGGCGCTGGGGCTAGAATTTCAAAGCCCAGTGAGAAGTGGAGGTGTTTTGCTTCTTCAGTGTCATATTCCTGTGACTGTGGCGCTCGAGTGGGTGAGGCAGGAGAGTCAAGGACAGCCTTGGCTACATTTCCAAACACAGAAGGGCAGGAAGACAATTGCTTTAGCGTCTTCTGCAGCTGTGACTCTAGAGTTGCCTGGGTTTATACACGTGGAAGAGGAACATACTGGGTTCCAGAAGCTGTGAAAAACAAAATTCTATTGTTCCACTACTGATTGCTATTGTTAAATGCATTCCTGAAACATTAAAGGCAATTATGTAAACTTAAACTTCAGAGACCGGTTAAAGATCAAACCTGGGCAGAAGCAGGTCGACACTGAGTTTCAGGCCAGTCTGGGGCTTATAGCGAGCTGTACCCTGTCTCAAAGAAGCACACCACCACCAAAAGATCTAACATTGGGCGGTGTGATTTCAATCCCAGCACCGGGCAAAAACAAAACCAAAACCAAATCAAAACCAAACCAAAGAAAACCAATAAAACAAACAAAGCAAAATACGAAAACCACAAAAATCCCCCCAAGCTTGGTGCACTTTACTGAGCACTGGGTCAATGCTGAGAAACTGGGATTGGAATACCTGACTCTTATTCATGACTGGGTACTTTTGTGAGCTCATCTACCCAGCAGGCCAGAGTCTGCCAACTGAAAAAATGTGATAAAAACATCCAATGGTCCACAGGATTTTTCGTGGAGACCAAATCACCTAGAGACAATGTGAGAACATTTTGCACAGTGAAAGTATTATGTAGATATGAACGATTGCCCTACCTTGAGCTCAAGACTACCTTTGCTTTTTGTATCGAAGAGCATCTTTCTGAATTTTAGGGATTCTCCTCTTCTTCCTTTGTTCCAGGTATTTTGTGGGTAGGGTGATCATATGTCAACTTAAAGTATGGATTCCCACCCCAGGTTTGAGTTGGATGTTTAGCTATACTTAGAGAAAGCTAGGAAGTGCCTTTCCTTCATTTTTTTTTTCCTTCCTTCCCCTCCCCCCTCTTCTTTTAAAATTTGGAGACAGGGTTTATCTGTGTATCCCTGGCAGTCCTCCAACTTTCCCTGTAGACCAGGCTGGCCTCGAACTCTGGAGTTGTGCTTGCATGTTCCTCCTGAGTGCTGGGATTAAAGGCGTGGGCCACTACACAGGGCAGGGAAGTGCATTTCGTGTATTTATTTATAGACAAGACAGAGACAGCGGGATTTGTGCTGAGAATAGCTTCGAACGCTTGATCTTTCTGTCCCCACGCCCGAAGTGCTGCCATTACAGGCGTGCCCCACCAAACTGGGTTTATTTAGCTTTGGGATTTGAACTCAAAGAGTTTCCAGCATTCGAGGTAAGCACTTTACCAAATTACAGCTTTTGTTACCTACCTGCTTGCCTGCCTGCCTGCCTGCGTGCCCCTGTGCCTGCCTGCCTAGTTATCAGCACCTGCTTACCAGCCTTGTAGCTGTCAGACACAGTTAACTTTTCCCCTTAACTGACGTCTTAGCCCTGTGGCTTCAGGAAGCCCAAAAGGAAGATGGCGTCTTCCTCTTCGCGCATGCTCCTTGACGTCCAGTGTACGCGCCTCGGGGGCGCGCACGTCAGACAGTGCCGTTGCCGTACTTCCGCTGGTGCAGAAGCGGGGTTTCCGCGGGATCAGGCCGGCGTCCGAGGGTACTTGGTAGTGTTGTGTGGGGCGGGAAGAGGCACGTTAGACGTGGGGCTCCGGGGCGGAGGCTGCCCAGGATGAGGGGCGTCCGCTCCGAGGCTGGGTGCGCGGTGCGTGAAGGGGATTGGGTAGCCGGGCTGTGAGTGGTGGTGCGGACTTGGGCCGGTGTCGAGCGCAGCTAGGACTCCCTCTGAAAGGTTTTCCGGACGCCGACACCCCCACCCCCAAGGGGTGCAGTACGGCTGGATTGGCGTTCATTCACGTCGTTGATGAACCTACTGGTCTCCAAGGAGCCGACTCTCGAGCTACTGTTGTTTGAAGCCCTTGGAGCGATCCCCGCACAGTTCTGACAGCACAGCGCCTGGCTGCTGCCCTCTCCCCGCGCTCTTTCTCCTCCCCCCTCCCTGAACCTCATGAAGTCATCTGTGAACTAAAGGAATCGCCTAGGTGATTCCCGCTCCTCCTCTTGGTCATTTACCAGCCTCCCTGGCAGGATCAACTTATCTTCTCTGGGCTGTTAATGGTGAGGGCCTCCCTTACTGCCCCTGAGAACGTGAATTGTGGAGGCTTAAGGTTGGCTTTATAGATCTACTTCTGATCTGAGTCGGAGCGAACACTATTTTTAAGCCTGCCAGGAGTAAGTTTCCTCTAGTACTGTCGAGTGGTCTTCAGACTTGAAGGTTGGCAGTGACTTATTCTGTTCTTGGACCTCCTTCTTATCACAGATTAGATAGCAAGTTAGAAGCCACCGTCCAGGACCGATGTAAACGCTCCTTGCTGGGTCCCAGTGCGGCACAGCGGTGTGCAAGTCCTTCATTCGGTCACCTGTCAGGGAATGGTCAGTGAGTGTCTACGATACCCACATAGTGTTGGACCCTGGAGACACCTGTTAAGGGTTCCTTTTTCTCAACTGAGTACATATCCTTGCCTTTGAGGATGAAGAACAAGATGTTACAAAAGTGACAACGTGACATTGTAAGATTTACTTTTTACTTTTTGGATGACATGTCTGTCTGTGGGCATTTGACTGAGTGCAAGTGGTCAGGTCCAGGCTGGCGTAGAACTTACTTTGTAGACCAGGTTGGCTTTGAAGTCACAGAGATACAACGGCATGTCTTCCTAGGCTGGAAAGAGAGGCCTGTACCATCCCAGCAAGCCTGAGGTACAGTAGTTTCAGAGATTAAGGTAACTCTTAGTGGAGGTAGCATATTGAATTTGAATTGAGCTAGTTTCTCATCCTCTCCTAAAATCCTAGGCATTTGGTGTCAAATACTATGTTCATGAGTGAGCTTGAGGATCATGAGATGAAAACTCATCAAATGGTATTACTGTTATTCCCTCCCACCCCACCTCAGGGTTTCTCTGTAGCTCTGAAGCCTGTCCTCAAGTCACAGATCTGCCTGCCTCCTCCTTGTGAGTGCTGGCATTAATGGAGTGCACCACCACCACCACCACCGGCCCCACCATCGGCACCAGCACCCAGCTATTCCTGTTACTACTACTGAGGTGATAAGCACTTGTCTTGTACCCTTTCAGGATGGACCAGAAGTGGGACTTGTACGATGTTGCCCTGTAAAAAGAGAAGAGCTGCAGTGACGGAGTCTGCGCACCAGCAGGATGACCAGGAGGGAGATGACTTAGACTTAGAGCCAGCTGTGAAGCCGGAATCCGTGCAGCTGAAAGACTTGGGGTCAGAGCCGCTGTCCTGGGGTCAGCATCGTGAGAGTACAGTGTGTCCTGAGGTGGACTCCTCTCATGATATCGCAGATCAGCTCAGCTTGGAGGGTCCGTCTCTACGTCCTCAGGTGCTCACCCAGCATGGAAACTTACCAGTTTTGGAGGCTGTCGATGTAGCCATCTCTCAGGAAAGTGACCTTCCTTCCTCCGAGTCTTCTCATTCCCTGGCTATACAAGTCGATAAAGAGAGACACCAGGCCGCGGCCTCAAGGAAAGGGAAGGAAATTGTCTTCCCGCCTTTGCTGGTTACCAGAGAAGACCTAGGGGATCATCCTGTTGTAGAGGAACCTCCTTCAGGAGAGCTGGATGAAGAAGCCAAGGCAGAAGGAGGTAAGGGGGAAAGGTCTCGGTTGCTCTTTCCTCTCCTGTGTAGGTTGAGCATCTCTGAATTGAAGCTCTGCACTCTAAAATGCTGTACACTTAACTTTTGGAGTACTACCATGATGCTCTAAGTGAACAATCCCACACCTGACCTGAGGTGAGGGGCTGTGTCTGAATGCAGGCCTTCAAACCTTGCATGAGATTGTCTTCAGATGACAAAAGGGCTATCTATGAGAAGCAAATGAGTTGCCTGTTTAAGTGTGGGTCCCATCTCAAGATATCTAATGAATGTACATCTTTCTATTGGTCCCAAGCTTTTCAGATAAGTAAGGGACAGGTAGGTAACCTGTGCCACTTTGTTTCTTTTTCTCTTTGTGAGACAGGTTCTCTCTACATAGCTCTGGCTGTCCTGGAACTCACTACAGAGCAGGCTGGTCCTGAACTAACATAGATCCACCTGCCTCAGGTGTGGGCTGCCACTCCTGGTTTGTCTTTGCTCTATGTGGTGCCTTTACAGAGAAGGCAAATTTCTCTGGGGTGGACTTGCTCCTGGAACTGTTCTTTTCATTAAATACGGTGAATCTTATGAGTGGGTCCAGATTTTCCTTTTCTCTCCATCTCTCTCCATTCTCTTCTATTACCCTTCCCCCAATTAAAACATTGGTGTGTATGTGTTTTTGGATGCATGTGTGTGTATGTATGTGTGTGAGGCTCCAAGGAGAGTGTCAGAGCCTTTGGAACTAATATTGTATTAGGGATGGTTTTGAGCCCCCATGTGGGTGCCACCTATCAAACCTGGGTTCTCTTGAAGAGCTACTATTGCTCTTAATTTCTGAGTCATGTCTGTATCTTTTCCCTCACCTTTTCCCTTTGAAGCTTTATTCTGCTTATCTGGAGAGAGGAACTATGAATGCTCTGTTGATTCTTTATAAAGCTGGCTATGTGGATGAGGGTAGCAGCTTAACGGAAGACTATTGTTTGGACATTGAGACAGGCTTTCCAGAGGTGAAGTATTCTTTGGACTAAAGACTCTGAAGGCTTCAGTTTGACAGAGTTGTGCTATATACCCCTTGGCTAGGAACAGTTTATGTAGAGATGTAGAGACAGAGGAGGATGGCGACATGGTATCTCAGAAGAATTAGGAAAAGGTCATTCAAGTGGCAGATCAGGTTTCATTTGTAAAGAGCATTAATTTCTATACTTAGGTATTGTAAATTTTCTAGTAGGTAACTCTATTAATAGGTAAACAAAGCTAACCTGTCTCTTACTTTGTTTGCAGTGTCAGAGATTGATCTAAGGGGCTTGCACATACTAGGCATGCCGTTTGCATCACAGCCCTGGCCTCCTGTTGATTTTTCTCTCTCTTTTTAAAAAAGTTGCTTTTGGAGGTCTTCCACTGAAGCTCAGGGTGGTCTGGAATTTGTTTCTCAGGCCTGTTGGGCCTTCAGCAAATGGCTCCTGTCTCTGACTTCTGAGGGCTAAAGTTATGGTCATTACACTCCCAGGATATTTATAAAGCAAAGGACATTTGGAATTTTTTTTTAAATTTTTTTTTTTAAGATTTATTTATTTTTATCACATATAGTGTTCTGCCTGCAGGCCAGAAGTGGGCACCAAATGTCATTACAGATGGTTGTGAACCACCATGTGGTTGCTGGGAATTGAACTCAGGACCTTTAGAAGAGCAACCAGTGCTCTTAACCTTTGAGCCACCTCAGCAGCCTCTGATTGTAAGCTGGGCATTTGTGGTGTTTGCCTGTAATCCAGGCACTCAGGAGACTGATATAGGAAGATTGCTGTAAGTTAGAGGTCAGTCAGGAGTACATTGCAAGACTCAAGACAAGGGAAAGTGTGGGTGAGGTGACCCATGCCTGGAAGCTCTCCACATGGGGGTGGAGTTCTTTGGTTATATAGTGACTTTGAGGTTAGTCTGGGTTACATGAGACCTGGCTTTGGAGAAAAAAAATACAGAGCTTGGCATGCATGGTGTGGCAGTCCTTTATTCCTAGCACTCAGGCGGCAGAGTTAAGATCCCTGTGAGTCTGAGGCCAGCCTGGTGTACATAGTACCTTCCACCATTGCCTGACTGATAATAGTTTTCAATGATCTCTTTTCTCTTCACTTCTCTTCTTTTTTCTCTATCATTTAAAATTTTTTTGCTACATTTTTATTTATGAGGTCATTAGGCTTTGCAACAAATGCCTTCATTTACTGATCCATCTTGCTCTTTCCTCCCTTCCCTCTTCCCCTCTTGTTTGAAAAATAGTATTTGTGGGGTGTGTGTGTGTGTGTGTGTGTGTGTGTGTGTGTGTATGTGTGTGTGTGTGTACACTCAGGTTGTCAGGCTTGGCTGAAAGTGAGTTTACTTACTGTTTATTAAAAACAGATACAGTCTCATTCGGCATTTCAGGGTAGGAAGTATGTCAACTTGCTCTGCTTTTGATAGTCTTTTTTCTCCTTTCACCATCTCTGTTTGTATTTTGAGAATGATTACATGGAACTTGGGCTGGACTGGTGCTTAGTTTGTAACTGAGGATAATATTTATGATTCCCTGCTTCTACCTCCTGTGTTGATCTTATAGATGTGTGATGGGAGATGTCATTCTGTATATATGTTTCTCATACTGGGTAATAATAAAGCACTGTTGGCCAATAGGAAAGGAAGATAGGAGGGACTAGGAGACAAGGAGAAAATAGGAAGTAGAGAGAAGAGCCAAGATGGAGAGTCGGGAGAAAGCAGTATGCCGGCCGGCTCCCCGGTAAGAGAAATACATAGATCAACAGAAATGGGTTAATACTTAAGACAGAGCTAGCCGATAAACTAGTACCTGGCCAACAAAATTGTATCTAATACAGAGTCTCAGTGTGTTAATTGGGGCTGGCGTGGCGGCAGGACAAGACCAGGCGGCGGGAGGAAAAAAACCGTACTCGTTACAGATGTGTGTCACCATCCCTTGCTTTATGTGGTTCTGGCAAACTAAGCCAATGCTTCCTGCATTCTAGGGAAACTCTACCATCTGAGCCATACCCACAGCTCAGTCTAGCTCTTCTTGCATGATGCTTGACTGTTGATGTCTCTCAAGATGTTTCTATTTCAGTTAATTTACTTAAGTTGATTGACACAAAATTATTCATAATAGTCTTTTCTTTTCCCAGTGTTAGGATTGAACCCAGAACATCAAGCATTCAAGCATTCTGGCAGGAGCTCTATTCCCTAGCTGCACCTCGGGCTGTCTTTGATACCTTTTTAAATATCTGTGAAACCTGTATTGAAGACTATTCTTTCATTCCCGATTCTGATTATTTGCCTTCTTTCTCCTTTAAGTGTTAATAGAAGGTCGGATTTCTGTGTCCCTCTGCCTCCAAAGTGCTGAGATTAAAACTGCTGAAACTTGGGCTGGAGAGATGGCTCAGCTGTTAACGGCTAGGCTCACAGCTAAAAATATGAGTTTGTTTTTCAGCATCCATAACTATCTCTCCAGCCATAAGAATCAAACAAAACAAAAACCAACCAACAAAAAAAACTGCTGAAACTTTCACACTTTTCTTTCTTTTCTTCTTCCTTCCTTTGTTCTGTTCTGTTCTGTTCTGTTCTGTTCTGTTCTGTTCTGTTCTGTTCTGTTCTGTTCTGTATGTGTGTGAGACTGGGTTTCTTTGTGTGGCCCTAGTTATCCTGTAACTCATGATGTAGACTAGGCTGGCTTTGATCTCAGAGATCCACCTGTCTGTCCCCCTAGCACTGCCATTGAAGGTGTTCGCTACCACACCCAGCTGAGTGTTATGTATTATGACCAGATCTGTAGTACAATTACCACCTCCATAGTAAACCACCATAGTCACATGATGGTGTGTGGTTTTCAAATAAGACAACAGGCATGTTGGTTTCCTTTCACTGTTGGTTTGGGTTCCTAGAGAAGTTCCTAGAGTTCCTAGAGTTTCTAGAGAAGGAGTTCTGGAAGAGTCTGGTGACTTTCTTCTTGGTTCATTTGCATAAAGACAAGAGAATGAAGAAAGTGATAAAAGGAAAAAACCTGAAACAAAAAGGGTATTCCTCTCTTTGTTAGGGTTTCTATTGCTGTAAAGAGACAGCATGACCATAGCACTCTTATAAAGGAAAACATTTGATGGATGACTTATATTTTCAGAGGTTTAGTGTTGTTTTTAACTAAGTCTCTATCATTCTGTATTACCAATAAAGACTTGGGAGCCAGATTCTTGGGTGAAAACCTGCAAGCTCAGAGAGGCAGAGAAAGCAGCCAGCTGCTTCCTGCTCCTCCATTTTCCCAGAAAGAGCTTTCTTTTATGCCATCTCAAATATAACTCCTTTGACCAGATGTTCTTCCCTTCTACTTCCTATGCAGCTCTTTTTCCTCCTGACTTCCTCTTACTTTTTGTGGTTATTTTCCTTTTCTTTCCTTCCTTCCTTCCTTCCTTCCTTCCTTCCTTCCTTCCTTCCTTCTTTCCTTCCTTTATTTTGTTTTCCCAAGACAGGGTTTCTCTGTATTGCCTTGTTGTCTGTCCTGGAACTTGCTCTGTAGATAAGGCTGGCCTTGAAATCACAGAGATCCACCTGCCTCTGCCTCCCGAGTGCTGGGACTAAAGGCGTGCGCAACCAACGCCCGGCTTGTGGTTATTTTCTATGAACTGGTTGGTTGATTTGACTTTTGACCTAAGGTTGATTTTGTTTAACTGTTTTTACAGTGTTAAAGCAGAAAGCTCTTGGATTAAAGGTGTATTCTAGGGGTGAGGCAAACTACCAATAGAAGCAGGTTTTCCTAGGAAATAATGCAATCTTGGGGTTCACAATGTGGTATCTTGAGCGTATATGAGACCTCAAAGCCCACCTCCACAGTGACACACTTCCTCTAACAAGACCACACCTTCTTGAGCAAGGCTGCACCTCCTAATACTGACACTCCCTTTGTGGGGCATTTTCCTTCAATCCACCACAGGTACCAAGAGGAAACGAGATGGAAAGGGTCAAGAACAAGGGACAATGGCCCATGACC